AAAACACAAACCGAAACTGACAGTACAAAGCTTCAAGCTTCGTTTTGTGTTTTATTGAACGCTCCTGAAGAAGCTGTAAAGCGAAACGTTGAGTGTTTAATTAAATAAAGACAACATTTTGGTGTTATAGGGTCGTTTATTTCTAGTGTTAATATGTCTTCTATACATCAGTATGCACTACAGAAATTAAATATTATTATTATTATTGATTAGATACAGTTACAAAAGCAAATAATACTGTCTGATAATCATTGTTTATGGTGGAATTGTTAGGCCTAATCTCCATTTTTCTTAAAGCTTAGTAAAATACGATCGTATCCTAGTAAATAAACACTTCAGAATAATAGAGCAGGAAATAGATCCTGTAGTCATAGCAACGTTTGCGCTATATACTTTTTGGAGGAAATCAGATAAAAAAATAAAGTTCCATTCTTACGCAGTCTTAAGTAGCTTTTAAAGGCTTAAAATCCTGTTATCAAAGGCTTTAGTCTGTTTGTGTGAGTGTGTTTTTTATCTATCTGTTGGTTTAGTATAAAGATAAGTTCGTGCTAATATACAAACATCCGATATAACGTGACATAGAACACAGATAAGGTTGCAGGAAAACGTGGCGCGTGGTTGTACACAACAAACGAAGAATATGTTCAGCTTAAAGAAACGAGATATGTTATTAAGAAAAAAACTCTTTGCTTTCTTCTTCACAAGTTACTGTTGAAAAATAAGATAAACCAATAAAGCATTGGGCTGGAAGGATATACATGTAAATATATAGGTAACATTACGGAAGTCTTCCAAATATATTGTGCATATGTATATATAATGGGAAAAGATAAACTTAGTCCCTCGACTGTACTGGTCAGTGGTCTTAGAAGTGAATGAACTACCAGAACTACTGGTAGTAAAGAAGCTATTAATCAGAACAATACTGTGTTCGAGCAACATTAGAGGTATACGTAATACTGTTTTAACAGTTATTCTGTGATAAAATAGGTTACTGATATTAACACATGTTTATCAACTACCGAAGTTAATAAAACAGTCACCACTACCGAAAAGTTGATAAATCAGTTATGACTTATAGAGTAATATTAACTTTAGTTATTGTTTGATCGGTGACAAAAGTTAATTCAATCCTAACTTTTAACTTGAAACAATCAATCAAACTAAAAAATCAGCTTATACTAACTCATTCTAATTACTGCCTAGTACATATGTTATATCCGGGTCTTACATTAGGTTAATTTCTTTAATGTCATTGTGATCGTAAAACGTGTCTTGCAACAAAAGTAAAAGGACTCCAAAGAAGCGTGTTTATGTAGAAGATGCTTATTTGTAAACGCGACAATAAAATCAACTTACCATCGGTGTGGACAGTAGAGATGTAGGTCCAGTTGTGCCACTTCACGATATCCACAAGCACCTGAGCCTGAAAAAGGTCACTGGGTACTACACGCAGGAAATATTTGTAGAAACTTCTCTCAGAGAGATCCGTACTGGTAGCAGAATACCCAATTTGAGGGATGCTAAACAGCTGTAATAAGTTTTGTACCTGGATGGTCACTGTACTAGAACCCGGGCCTATCACTCCCACAATGTTTTTCAACTCTGGCTTAGGACAGTTAGGGTTAACTGATGTTATTGCACTATCCATATCGTTCTTGGCCTTTTTGCTGCTGGCCGAGATTGTGTCCCGGATGAACTCTATGCTTTGTTCTAGAGCAATCGGAGAATACCAACAAGAATCACGGATTTCTATCCCTAAAGTACTATTTGGTAAAAGTGTTTTGTTCTTGTTAATCTCGTCTATAGCCTGAAACGCAGCTTCGACCCGCTGGATCCCGTAAGCTTCCCTGACGTCCCCACATGTACGGGTTTGAGCTTGCTTCTGTCCTGGAGAGTGGTGAACGGAGAATAAAGCTCCAACTATTATGTCACCTTTAATGGTGGCAATGTGCCTTGTTTGAGAGGTTCCTACAGTGGACGAAACCATTACACAAACTATTAACACAAGAAGCTGCAGTGGGTCACCCATCTTGTACTCACTCCCTCATTCGTGTCATTCTGCTTTTATTTCTTCAAAAAAAAAAAGACGCTTTGTTTCTACCCTTCAGTGTTTAGTGCTAGAAATAACGTCAGATATGGATGTGTGGACCCATAAATCCTGTCATAAGTCTGGAGCAACCATCAACTAAAAAGGACGATTCTCGTCTACCACCTGGAAAAATAAAAGTCGTATTGAAATTAGGTTTTTAAATAAAGTTAAATTAATTTCACGTTAAGCCAACAAAAAACTACATCTGAAAAACCACGTATAACAATTCAGTCATTTCATATTACGAAACAGCCAGCTCTAAAATCTTGTCAGTTCTTAATACTTACTCATTTGCAAGTGATGCAAAAGATTGTAACGAAATAAATTATAAACTAAAAACTGGATTCTATAACGAAGCATCATCACGAATAACATAATCTAAAGTGACTTTTATCATCAATATTTGGCCTAATAAAAAACTTAGTTAACTGACTTTTCACACGTAATTTATCGACTTAAAATAATACTGAATGCTTTATATCTTAATTAACATTCTTACATACAACTTTAAGAGTTCACACTATGACGTATCTTACCACGTGACGCTCGTCAGCTAATTGCAGATTCAGTGTTTTTAGGCAAATATTAAACATTCATCTTTCGTAATAAAACATCTGCTATGATGTCTTGATAGAAAACTGTCGGTGTTACAGTTTTTTGTAAATAGCCACGCACTTGTTTCACGCTACAAAGTGTTCTATTACCACCCACAACACAGGAAGAGCTTATAGAACTAACAACCGAATACGTCACTACTGGCGGTTACAGGGAAATTAACTCATACAGGAAGGAAGGGCAAAACATATTCGTGAACGAACAATGTCCTAATACACTGGCCAGGACCCTAATCTTCATCTCTAGGGGAATACCACAGTGAATTGGATAGTTTTCACACTTGATTTTCTAAATTAACAACTTAACACACACATTCATATCTTAGGTAATAAAAGCAGTTTGTACTGAAACTAACAAAACTCGTATTTTCTCTTTGCACAAAGAGTAGTTTTTTAATTAATAGTTTCAACTTTACTGAGTTGAAATTCTAGTAGACTACCATTGATTTAGACTCACTATGAAGGTCATTCTCTCATTTAGGAGAATTTATGTATCCCCTCGGGAGGCGATGACTTGTCTAGGCACGTTTCTTTTCTTTCACTTACAAACTGGGCCAGTATCAGCCTATATCATTATACAGATAGGGCACAATGACTGTTTAGTCTGTCTCTTCATCCATTTTGTTATATAAAACGTCAATTAAGAAAAATAATGTTCATACTGTGAGTCCCCATGAAATTGTGAGGGCTAGAACAAAAGCTGTGAAGGCCATGAAAATTCGGTCTTGTAGCAATGTGATTAGCATTACAATCAACGCCAAACCAATAAAAGTTATTATATATTCTGTTTCTTTGAAACGCGGACCTGTTTCAAAGCTCTTGTTTGGGTTTGGTGAAAACATGTTACTGAAAGAGAATGTCGTGTCACAGAAGTTTGTGCTCAAAGCGCGGACCTGTTTCAAAGCTCTTGTTTGGGTTTGGTGAAAACATGTTCCTCGAAACACTCTCTTCTTTTTACCTTGTTCACTGATGATTTATCTTTTCCTCAGATTCCTTTTAATTATATTACCATTGACCAAAATATTTACGATATTGCATGTTTGATATCTTGAAGTACAGTTCTTGCTCTCAGTAAACATGTTGTTTATTTGTTGTTAAGCGCAAAACTGCACAATTGGATTATTTGTGCTGTACATTACAAAAAAGCTATTTCAGTTCTTAAAAATATGCCCATCAGTGGCCCAGCGGTATTTCTGCGGGCTTATAAGTCTAGAAACCTGGGTTTCGATACCTGTGGTGGGCAGAGCACAGATAGCCCATTGTGTAACTTTATGCTTAACTTCAAACAACAATCTTAATAACATTAATATTTAAATTTATAATAAAATATGTCAACTCTGTTAAAAATTTCACTATAATCTGTGACAAAAAGTGAAAGTCACATAAATATACTAATTATTCATCGAACAAAAAAGCTGACTCAGAATTAAGATGTTTAAGAAAGTTTTATGAAAACAAGGAGCATCTTTAAGTTGAAACTGTAATTGAAATGTAATTTCTTTTTGAACATGAATGTTTCACTTGATCAAAGAATAACACCTAAAGCACTCTCATTATTTAAACAAATAACTTTATATTTTATGGTTACTTTTTAGACCCTTTTTATTAGCTAGAATATTATACAGTAATATTTAAACTATTTTATTTTAAAGCATGTGACAAAAATTGAATATACAAAATCAATATGCTTAATTCTCCTTTTTATGATATATCTTTCTAATGAAATTGATATTATTTTATCTATTTTTTACGGGCTCGGCATGGCCAGGTGGTCAGGGCGTTCAACTCATAATCTGCGGGTTTCCCTTAAACTTCTTTAAATTAACTTCATCTACCACATCGAAGGCAACCCGTTAGAAAAATGAAGCTGTCTTAACTAAAGATGACTCCTACTCTGACAAGATGGATATTTGTGTCCTCTAGTCTTACCTTAAATAGGCCCGGCATGGCCATATGGTTAGTGCGCTCGACTTGCAATTTGAGGGTCGCGGGTTCGAATCCCCGTCACATGCTCGCCCTTTCAGCCGTGGGGACGTTATAATGTGACGGTCAATCCCACTATTCGTTGGTAAAAAAGTAGCCCAAGAGTTGGCGGTGGGTGGCGATGACTAGCTGCCTTACACTGCTAAATTAGAGACTGCAAGCGCAGATAGCCCTCGTGTAGC